AAAAAACCCCAAACCACACCAGCAGTCCTTAAAAAAAATCATGACACACTAGTCTGGAAGGAATCAGTTCCTCTTTTCCAAAAGTTGCACAGAGCTAAGAAACAGAAGGAAAACAGTGATGACAGCCAGGCTGTTCTCAGTTTACAAAAACGATCAACAGTAGCTCAGTAGTGGTGGGTCAAACGATGCTGTCATGTCTTAGATTTTAAAAATACTGTACAGGTCTTCGAACAGAAAACCTTCACTGGGCTAGATGGAAATATTTAAATTATTAAGAATCAAACATCCCTACTAGTTATAACAACCTCCCTTACACCCCTCCTCCCCACCTTCCAAAGTACCGAAAATCCAGACAAAATGAAATAGTCCTGGTGTTACCATGCCACCCTACAGTCACCAGCGGAGGTCGGGGTTCTCTGGGAACAGGTACGTAAATGACAGTCCCTGTCCTACAGGAGTACAAGACAGCAAGGTCCCCGTGGGAGCACAGCTCCATCTGGGGAGAAGTTCAGAACATCAATTAATGACAGGAGATTACTTCCCTTTTAATTGATGGAAAACCTTCAAAGCATAACAATGTGCTTCCCCTTCCATTTCCAAATCCTGGTCAAAAGCTTCTCCTTGCTTCGGGGAAGCTCACAAACTTTTGTGCTTTCTCTTAGTTCTTAGTCAGCTTTAAAAGAGTGAAGAGATCAAAGTTAATTTGACCAGATACACACACAAGCACAAATACCATCTCCCTTTCCCCAAAAAATATTCAGCTCCCCAAGAAACAGAATCACACTAAGGTGAAAACTTATCCGTTTTTATTTTTTAAAGAAAAATATTCCTCTTTAAACACAAAGCATGAACTAAAAACCTCTGAGGAACAGCTTCTCCTCCCTTGGAGCACATTTAACTAAACTGTACAGCGTTAGAGCTCCCCAAACAAGTATACACACATGACATACAGTATTTCTTTCACAGGAAGTAAGGTTTAGGACTCAAAATCGTCCTCCTCACCCTCTCTAGATACCCACTCCATCCAAAAGTACTCTGTCCCTTGCTCCCACCACAGGACACAGTGATGATAATTTCTGGATGCGACGTGTATTTAAAAAAAAAAAAAAGTATTGACCAAATCAGCCCTTTCTAGCCTTCTAACAAATGTCTGTGAGAGAGGTTAAGACCATAGTTATTTCCAGGAATGGTGCTTGGAACAAAAAATATAGCAGCATCCACAAGCAACACAAGCCCTTGATTCCAGCTGCCCTGTTTTAAGGAACCCGGTCAGTTCAGCAGTGTTTTACAGATGTTCCCATCACCTGCAAAGAGGGAGTGGGAATAAAACACTCACAGGCCAAATTTGTTGCTTGAGCAGACAGCCTAAAATTCAGTGAATCTGGCCTACATATGCCAGCAATGAGTTTTTTTCCCCACATTGCACGTGACCAATTTCATGTCTAAGATTTTATGTAAAAAGATATGATGACCTTCAGAAATCAGCAACTCGTTCTACCAATTCTCTCTATCCCATCAAATAGATATGTGCATAATATTTGTCACATCTGCCAAACCACCCAGACTGCGGAACTGGAATCAGACTCTAGAATCCAAATTGTTCCTAATTCAGAACAACAAAATCATCAAAAGTCTTTGCAAGGTCTCAGAACATGCCTAACAAGCCCAAAGAAAAAGCACCTGGGCATTTTTCAAGGGAAGGCAAGTAATGGAAAAGGTCTGTAAATGGAGCTCATTTATATGTCACCTGATAATTAATTGTTGGTATTATTAAGTAATGCTCAAATCTTTATCAGACCATTTTCTAAGGATCTTTTCCATTCCATACACCCCAACAGCTTTTACAGTAGGAAAAATATTAGAAAAATAAAATCTCACCCCTGAACATCACTGTATGAAGATCAACATCATCAGTCACAAAGATTTTTACAGGGGGACCAGATAATCTTTTGTTTCCTCCAAACCAGCTTCATATAGAAAACAGCAGCAAGATAGACACAGTATCTAAGAGCTAGATTAAGGCCAACAAGATAAAGACAAACATGGGCTCAGATCTTTTGAAATGAAGAAACCCTCCAAATATTTTTGTACATATGCATGCACACACGCACGCACACACACACATACACACGTATACACGTGTGTTTTATTCAAGCGAAGGCTTCACAACCGTGAAAGCACCACTGGAGAGTGTTCTAGCACCAGAATGAAAAAGTTGGTTGTCTTCCCTCTTCAGCAATAAAATCCAAAGTCTTTATATTGGTTTGGACAAGGTCACCAAACACCCTTCCAAGAACAGTTTCAGTGAGCAGATTTAAACCTGCAGTGACAGGTTAAAGCATTCCTGTTCTGGACTACGGGCAAGAAGAGGTGTGTTGAGAGGCTGCAGCTCCTTGGTTGCTGGGAAGGAGGAGAGAATTTGTATTGCAATCTGGTAGAGACAGAGACCAGCTTGGAGTCCAGGTGAGTGCAATGGTAAAACTCAGCACAGACTGGGAGGTGAAAGTGGAAAGTTTGCATACATGAAATCACAGTGCGCATCTGTTGGCATATAAAGACAAGCAAACCCACAACATACTCTGGCAAGCTTGTCTCTGCATAGGAGGCCCCTGGGTATGCTGGAAGTCAGGACAAGGATCCATGAATGAGATGTCACACCCTGCACCAGGACACCATCAAACTCAAACAGCAGAGGTCTAAATAGAAGCTTGTAGGTTGGTCTGCTAGGCATCTTGCCTATACACATGCTCACGTGAGCCTGCAGAAGTCTATAAAAGGGACAGAAATCTCTTAACAGCAAGGTTATGGGTCAGGTTTGGCTACAAGTAACAATTCATGCAAGTTGCGAAAGAATTAATCATCAACCTGCAGCACATCTTTCTGCTGCGGGTCTCTATCCTGGACGCAGGGCTTTGTACAGCGGGTGCTGGCTGTGCAGCCCACTGCCAACACTCTGAAGAGGCCGAGAGAAGGATGCAGAGTCAGGAATGACATCTCCAGTCTCTCAGATCAGCACACGTAGGCAGAGGTCTGTCCTCTGCCTGTACGATGCGGGGCAGGTGATGAGCAGACCTCACTAACAAAGGAGGACGGGGAGCAGTGGCTGGAAGTGGGCAGCTAAAACAGTGCAGGAAGAAATGGAAGAGACAGACTTAATTTTTCAGTGCTTGAATCACCAGCAGTAAAGCTCCATTTAATCTGTCTTATAGCATGCTGATTAGAGCCTGGCTATCACCCACATGATGTACTAAAGTGAGGCTGTGGTAGGAACTCAATTAAAACATGCAAGAAAAAAAAATGAAGTGAAAGGAAGGGTGATCATCACTCCGAGGTGTGAATTTCAGGTTCAGAGCAGGGAATTATCAGCAGAGATACGCTTTGTTTCGGTGCACATGCAAGAGTACAATAGAGGGAACAGCAGCAGAACTGAAAGAGAGGGAAAGACACGGCAAGCACAACACTGTAGTTCAAGATGCAAACACAGGACAATGGGGTGAGGGAGAAGAAAGAGAGAAGAACTTTGAGGTAAAGGACCCCAAAGGAAGAGACAACAGAAAAACTCTTAGAGTCACTCCTGCTTAAGGAAATACATAGCTAATATCAGTTGGCTCTCTTTTCACCAGGTATCCTTGACACGTTGGTAAATCTTCTCTCTGCACTTGGGATTTAAGAATAAAACATAAAGATGAAGATATTTTTTTTTCCCCTAAGGTGTATTAAATGTTTTTCAGTATTCAGCACTATCCTCTAAATGGCCCCTGAATTCTAAGCAATGCTGAAGACTCACCCAAAAGCCAAAGTGCCCAAATTACAAGCCGCTTTTGAAAATCTAAGGCTACTTCCTGGGTTAGAAAAGAATCTATCCAGAAGGCTGAATTGTCCAGAAGCAGGTTTGGTATTTCTCACTGAGAGCACTTTGGCATTTAACTAAGTAATATCTTAAATGGTTACTTAGCAAATCCCAATATCAGACTGAGGCGTCAGGTTTCTGTATAAATGTATACAATCAGACAGCTCCTTGCTTATCTTCTAATAGAATAGATTTGTGCGATTTGCAGCAAGAACAAGCCATGCCACTCGCTGCTTCAGTGAAAACACAAGCAGAGTTGGGAGCTGAAGCCCCTTGACTATGGTGCAAATCACATAGGGATCCTTTTTTATTACAGAATTAATTGTAACAGAGTTAGTGCCTCCTGGGTAAAGCAAAGCACAGGCTTCCTCTTTCTAACGCAAACCACAAAAGCATGTCTGGGGTTTGTGCATACCTACGGCAACAGAGCTGGCTGGAGGTATGTACAGACAGTAGTGTCTGAGAACCAGCATGACCAGAACGGCAACTGGTGAAAGCGGCCGCAGGGCACAGCCCAGGCAGAAGCACATAGACATATAAGATGCAAGAATATGACAGAGCAGACAAGGTCACCCACATGCTTAGGCAAGCTTAAGGCAACTAAAGAAAATTCACTGATAATTTAGAGGAGCGTGCCAAAGGGAAGAGAGAAGAACCACTGGGCAAAGAGGCTGGGAATGCTGTCACAGTAGCCAAAGCCCAGCACCAGCTACTAAGCCATCCCTTTTCTCCACCTCATTTGTTCTAATTCTCCTCATTTTACCAGCACCATCAGCATGAGGTTAATATGTCAGAAAGAAGAGGTGGGGATAGGTTCCTAAAAATGTAGCTTACACATCTTCAGACTTGTGTCTCAAGGTCAGTTCCTTTGAAAGAAAGTGCATGGGCCATGTGACTGGCCTCTTGCTGTGAACTGGAGCTTTCTGGGAATTCTGCCTGCCACCTCCAGGGACAATCCTGTGATATGTTCTACCTGGAAGTGATGGCAGCAGCTACCAGGGTTCCTTGTCATGACAGTTGAGCATATAGTAGTTTTTTTAAAAAACAGCATGCACCAGTGGCACGGCCATTAGACATGATGCCGTGGTTGAATTCTTCTTGTCTTGTCAGAACCAGGTGGAACCAGAAAGAAAGGAAGTGTTGGCACAAATCAGCGCAGGCTCCGGTAGACATAGGCTGATGTGAAGATAGCATTGACAGTCAGACTCACGGCGAGCAGACCTCGGAGAGCGGAGTTACCAAAATGACCTTAGTAGAAGAGGACAACACAAAGGAAAAAAGGGAATAGTAGAAAGAGATATTAAAGAATTGATGAGATAAATAACAGTGAACATATGTTGTGCTCTTTCTCTCCTTGCCCAGCGTTTTCACCATAAGCAAAAACTGCTGAAGCACTTTTCCTGTCAGGAAAGATTCCATTGCTCTCTTTGGTTCTGTTTTCATCTCATCACTCTTCTCAGCACCTGCATCCCCACCCCTTTCCTTCTGTCTCAGTTTAGCACTCTGTCAATATTCTTCAGACAGTCCAAAGAACAGGAATAGCCTTATTAAGGTTCTAGAATAGCAGGCAGAAGATCCATTTTGCTACTACTTATTTATTAGATCTCAAGATCAGATCACTACGACAGCACAGGAAAGATTTGTTACCCTCACAGAAATGGTCACATGTACATGAAGCACTCACACGACTGGCACCTACCTCTCCAGCCTGCCAAATCTTCCCCTTTGGTAGTTGTGTCTACCACACAGGTAGATGAGTGTGATGAGTGATCCTCCTTTTTGATGGAATTATCACTGCAAATACTCCCTCCTTCCATAGCAGATCTCATATCTGCAAGGACAAAAAAATACGAACATTCAGAAAGCACCAGTGGAAGCCAAAAGCAGCAGAAGTTACCACACTAAAGCCAGACATGAGTAATGAATGGTTGTGTGAATGAAAGGATTGAGGACAGGAGCTGGAAACAAAAGGCAAATTTCACTGCTGTGCAGCAGAAGTTGCCTGCGTGTTTGTCTCATACACTGTCCACATCAGCATCACCACATACGTGGTTAAAGGAGTCGTCCAAACAAGGGTGAAGGCAGTGGCAGTAGTACTGCTGGGGCACCGCTAAGTGAGAAAAGGACATCTGTTTTTGCAGACAAGAGGGTCTCCAGGCCAGTGGATTCTTAAGGGAGCTTTGGTAGCCTAACAGGCATCACCACCTGGGTTTTTCCCGAAGGTTTCCCATCTATTGTGTGGCCCAGATGATACAGGGCTTTGCCTGCAAGCCAACTCCTTCCTACAAATGCATTTCCAGGAGTGCAGCAGGCTGCCAGCATACCGTGCCTTCCGCGCTCACTGAGGTTCTTCTTTGGAAAGGAGGACAGCTCGGTGGCAAAGATGTTGCTGTCTGAGTGGGTGTGCTCCTCTGAGCTAGTTGGAGTGAGCAGAGCCTCATTCTGTGAAGGGAAAAGCAGCAGCTTCTGTCCTTTCAGGTTCAGGCGGGCAGGGCTGATGAGTGGTCGGCGGTACCGCAAGGAACCTGAGCTGGAAGTCACAGAGCCAGCCACCGACGGTGCTGGAGAGGGGATGCGGGAGGGAGCACAGCTGCCTGACAGCAGGGAGAAGTGCTCTGCAACGGAAACATCCCCAAAGAGAAAATGATGAGATTATAATCCAAATACAATAGGTACAGTTTTCTTTAGGAATTCTATGAGAAAAGGGAACCAGAGTTGCAAATGTCCAACCTATCTTGTACTAAAATTCTTTCTTCATTCCAGTTCCCACGCTGCAAAACATGGAGAAACTCCACATGTGCTTTGGTACACTCAGGAATGACTTAGACTAGAGATGGGTTTATGAGGAGCCAGGTGAGCTTTCTCTCTGCCCCGTTGTGTCCAATCAGAAGAGCCTGCATTACACATACTCTTTTGCAGGTACATTAACCGTTCTGGCATGTCCTTTGAAGGCTGCTGGGAAAGTGTTATCAGGATACGAGGAGGTTTGCACAATGGCATTAGCCCAGGCTGTGACTGCATTCCAGCAGCAAACACTTAAACAGCACCAACAGCCGAAGGATCCATTTGGGGTCAGGAGGGCAACAGACAGGTCACTGGAAGACACGGGAGCAAAAGGGCAGAGCAGACAGGGTAGCCAAATTAGCAGTTCCACAGGCTGGGGAACGAAAGTGAATCAAAAGAGCTGCCCTAGGAACAGTTTAAAGTCTCCTATCAAAGCAATCTCAGCTCAGCTGTAGAGCAGGGAAGGGATCCTTGCTTTGTCTCACTGATTTCACTGTGAGCTCTCCCATGGAGAAGCACTTCCAACACACACATCACCTTATTTTAATGCAATTCCACTCTGAGTTGGAACAAATTCTGCAGCATTTCTAGCAGCAAAACTGACATTTTCACTGGGATGTGAGCAGGGAGGAAAGAATTAAACTTGGATCATGTGTTTCAACCCACTCGCTGCAAATCCTGCAAAGACAGCTGCTCTGGAAGGCGCATTACCTGATGTAGGAGATTCCTTGGACTGAGATGACTGCGAGGCTGGTCGACTTCCGCTGAACAAGTAGCCAGAATCTAAAAAGCAAAAAGGAAACATTTTGAACTCAGCTGGCTCAGCTACTGGAGGTCTGTCCTTCAGAAATGTAGCTACATCATCTTGTCATCAGTCTCAGAAGGAAGTGAGTGGTAAATGCAGGCAGGAAAAATCTCCCTGTTTTCCTGGGTAGGCTATATGCCAGCATCAGAATAACCCACTTTTCCCAGCTGCAGCAGAACAGTCCAGCAAGCTCCAAAACCAACCTTGTGACTGTATCACAGCCTGGCTTGCCTCTAATTCTAAAGGAAGAAGGTGAAGATATGTTTGTATCCTTTTCTCATGAAAATAGCCTTAAGTGTAGATATTGGGGTGAGATGAATTCCCATCTATCTGTCAGGCACGGCAGCCATAATAACGAGGTAGAAAGAAAAATAAAAAAATCAATGTACAGTACTGAAGTCACAAAAAAGAAGCACTACAAATGAAACCTCAGAGCCTAAATCAATTAATTTTCTTAGGCACTTGATTTACATGATTATAAGCAAACAGCTTTGGAAGTTGAAAACCTTGCTGTTTGTAGAAAACATTTCGCCCCGACAGCATGCTCTCTCCAGTCTGTCTGGCTTTGCATCTTAGCAAAAGAAAGCAGAGGGCTCACAAGAGTGGTCAAGCACGCAGGGGGAATCTGAGATCCGATGCGTTTGCACTGCCCTTCCACTGGCAGTAGGTAACTAGAAAGGCGAAGGCTGTGCCAAAAGCTGCTGAGCTTCTGAAAGGTTTGCATCGCTGGTCTTTCTCTGGCTCTCTGGCAAAACTGCTGGCAGCGTGAGCTAGAGAGACATTGAATGAACTAAAAAAATCCCCACAAGACTGCTCTCTCTGTTGTGGTGTTATCCTAGAAACTGCCATATTTTGGCCTCTGACCTTCTGGTAATCAGTTAGTGACATAGGAAAGCTTAGCTTTCCTTGGATGCAGAATAACATTTGAACGCAATTTCCCATCTGTTAGTTTTGAGCACAGCAAAACTAAGGGCTTGAGTTACTAGGAGAGAATCTTTCCGTAGGCCTATAAATGTTCCCTAGATTGCACAGAGCCCTTAAAAACAAGAGGAAACGGGGTCTCTAAAGCAGCTTCAATAGTTGCGCTAATGCATGTCAAATCCAGACTGAGGGAAGAGTCAGCTCTGCTCCCTTCAGCTGTAGCAAGAAAAGAAAAGCAAACTAGACAATGCAAGTAAAATGAAGAGAGCTCTTGCCGGAACAGTTATTCTAATGATCCCAATCGCTTCCAAAAGCTGCTCTTCTCCGTTCCCATGTCTAACTGCTCCTTTTGTCTTTCTCCCACACATAGCCTTGTAGCTTGTGCCATGCTGCCACACATGCCTGGAGAAGCCTCTGGATCTCAGTAAACCCACAGCAGGCAAGCACTCAGTGAGACTTCTTGTTTCACCAAGATGGCAATGGTATGCTGCATAATTTCTTAATGCCAAAAACCAAATTACCAATGCTGGTTACTCCTCTATGCCACAGGAGCAGCAATCCCTAAAGAGGACTATAACGTGGGTACCTCACAGCCCATTTCCTTCTGAAGCGTTGTACCACTCCATTCTCATTTCCATTGGGCCAGAAAGTTCCATGCACACTTACCTGCTCTGGCCAGGGAGGGGATGGTACCCAGCGAGAGTGCCCTGTTGAGACGACCAGGAAGAGAGGAAGAAGAAGTTCTGCGTGGGGATCTGAAGAGTTGTTGGTTTGTCAGCTGGAGAATACTGGGTGGTGTTGGGACAAAGAGAGACGTAGCAGAGGAAGGGAAGCCAGTCCCAGTGCCGCTGGGAAAGACAGTAATGGAATCCCCAGAAAGGTACCTGCAAATGACACACACAACAGATGTTTAGCAGCAAGTACGTTCCAGTAACTCCCTCTCTCAGTTGTCCTTCTTGCATGAACACTTGCTTTGTTACCAGGTTTGTACTTATTTTTCAGTGCAGGAGTGCAAGCTGCAGAATGCTTTGGTGTTTACAGGAATGTTCCTACACTTTTGAAACTGGGGAAGGAGGAACTGCTCAACTTTACTTAAATTATCATGCACCAACCTGTCCCACAATACAGGGTGGAAAAAAATAGTGGAACAGTTTAGGAACTCAGGTACCTTGTTTCTCTCCCTAGATGAGAGAAAATTACCCAGAGGCCACCAGAATGCTTTACTCATACTCATACAGATACTCATACGACCAACAACAGAGGACATCTTATGGTTGTCATGTGCAAATGCAAACAACATGGTTAGAAATGTCATGACCCTGGGAAACTAGTAATCTACTAGTTTTTTTGTCTTTAGAAACCAGAATCAACACCTTACCTCTGATGCCAGTATAGAGAAAAGTATTTTTATGGGTACCTAGATAAATATTTAGCCACAAGAGCTCTGTTTTAAAACTAACATTCAAACCTCTTTAATAAATTTGCCTTTATTGTATTTCTGTGAGGTAATTTTACAGATTTTACAGATAGGAAAGAGAAGGAAAAAGAAGCTAAGTGAGTTGTCGAGGGTCACAGAGATAGAACAGAGACACAAACCTGGGTTTTCCAATCCTAAACTGAGGCCTAAACCGTTACATTTTCCCTTCTCTGCATATCATAATTAGCCACAAATATGTACTAGCATAGCCATTCAGAGGGAACGGTGCTCCTGTGGCATACACTCCAGGAAGTGTTTTGCTTCTAGTGCGTAAAAAACAATCTCTGTTACAGTGCCTGGAAAAAATTTGAAGTGGCAATAATAATGGCAATTGCGTTTCTAGGTCTGTGAGTTGTTTGCAATGGGTTCTTTCCAAGCGAAAGAGGGGAGCTGTAGAACAGCGTGTCCACCTTGGGAACGGGGGAGGAGAGATAACAGACAAAACATACTAAGGGCACCTGTACCAGTTAGCTTGATTTTTAAGTATTACAGACATAAGCTGACTTCTATTCCACTAGTACAATAACTGTAGGAGAGAACTTAGTATTTGAAACAGTTTTTGCAGCGAGCACTGCCACAGTATTTCACACCCATTACTATATGCAAATAAACTATGCAATTAATTTCTGCTACCCCTATTTCATCACCTATCTTTGCAGCTGTTTAAAATTTAAAAATCAACCTAAGCTGAACAATCTGTCAAAAATTTACTCCTATTTTTACCTTCTTTCTATTCCTCCTTGCAATCACATACTGATCTCAGTCTATGCGTACAGTTTAGTTGCATCAGAAATGAGGAGTCAGCTTTGGAGTCTCACTTGTGTCCCCATACCACCAAAACAAGCATTGTAAGAAGGTTGCAATGTTGTAAGTATAGAAATTTTGTATTATTTTTTAACAATTGAATAAAATACATGAAAGAAAGTCCAGCATATGAACAAGATCTCTCAAGGATCTCCTGTAAGATTTTTGTTTAGTTAGAAACAGGTAATACTCTTATCAAGTAAGTCATGACGAAGTACTAACAAAGTATGAAGTGTATATATTTTTAAATGGAGAAATCAGACTTTGCAGCACATAATCAAGCTGCAACATTTGAAGGTTTAATCTCACTTCTGATGAAAACAGAGAGAGATGAGAGCAGGAACATGGCTTTTCTTTTGTTGGAGGAAAGCCAGTAGTAAATCAGAGTGCGAAGGAATATACATATCTCAGTCTTGTGCTGTGAAGTGATTTATGCACGTGCCATTCTCTCTTGGAGATTAAAGAGGTGATGCAGCAATATTATGCAGTGCTAGCATGTCCAGAAGAAGCAGTCTAGAGTTAAGATTACAATTTAAAATATCTTATAAAACTACTTATCTGCTAGTATGAGGCAGACATCAACAATCCCGACCAGCTTAATCAGGCTGAACAACATCTGAGCCAACCAGCTTCCTGGTGCTTGCAAGCAGGACATGCCTTTAACAGCGGCAAGGAACTCGTCAGTCTTGCAGCAGAAACTGCCCAACCTCTTCAGGTTCCAGAGGACCTGGGAAGGGTGTCATGCTTCGCAAACGTGCAGAGTCCTTTAGTGCACATACATATACACATTTGCCCCACCACACATACAGATATAAATAGGAGATGTACGTGTCCATCTCAGCTTTGTAAGAGAAAAGGAATGGGAAAAGAAATTAAAAGTGCAGCTCAGGACTATGATATGAATCATATCAGAAAGAGTGATACCTACCACTCACTGTGCCATGTCTGTGAAGGGCCAAATCAGAGCACCGCCTGTGAACAATTTCACTTTTTTCTCCTAACTTTGCACCTTTTGTATCTTTGGGCTAAAGGATCCAACTTTACACAGCTCCTTGATGCAGTGGAAAACAGCTTATCTGGCTTACTGGCTTTTGGCAGTTTTTCACTTAATGGGCTGGAATATATTATCATCATTTATCACTCATAACCACAATCTCTTCCCTGGGATTGTAACTTTTTTTGAATCAGACTTGCATGGGCTCTGCAGGTCAACAGCCCCACTTCTCAACCTCACCAAGTTAGTGCAGTCAGATCCTCTGGGCAGCTGAGGAATCATGTGTCCTGCACCATCCAGAAAAAGAATTTTTCTGGTTAGCAAAGAAGGGCTGAAGAATTTTAAGCACAGCATACTAATGCCTTAGGATTGAGTGCTGATCAAAGAATGGCTTAAATATTGATCGGCTCTGAACAAAGTAAATTCCTGCAATGTGCAAAATCCTGTTCCTTTTCTATATGCTCTTCTCTTTAGTGTTTGCCACTGTCACGCCAAGAGGGCTGGATGCTGCTAAAAAGCAGGGGTGCTGTCATGGGAATGTGCTTCATGCCTGAGAATGGTCAGCTGAACTAAAACTTCTTTCAGAAGCAGATGAAAAAAGGTGAGGAGATCAAGAGGATCACAAAGCAGGAAGCAGCCACATCACAGCCCTGGAATGGAGTACTGCAGCTGTGTCTTTGCTCTCAGACTACCGCATTGCTCCAAGCCATTTGTTCAGGTGATAACAGTGGCTTTGGCAACAGTGAAAAAGTAACCAAAAAAGAAAGAAGGATTTAAAAAAAAGAAAAAAACAAAAAGGCTCTGGAGTCAGACAGTTTGTGGAAATAGTCAGGGCCCGGAAGCCGTTTATTTCAGAACTTGGTATTGTGAACATCAAAAATTGTGTATCTTCATTAGTGTTTACAATGATCACAGCGTTACTAGACAGTTGGGCACAACTCTGCTACACAGATACTTTAAAAATAAATAAATAGAAGGTTAAAGAAGAGTATTACATGGTATGGGACCGTACGCTGTCCTGAAGAAACACCTCCTGCCAGCAGAGCCTCCCCTCCTCTGTCCCAACACCTCCCTCTTATCCAAAGACACCACCATATGCGTGTGCCTTTCTAATTCACATTTTAACCAGAGATGCTGCATCACCCCGGGATAGAGAGAGACGTGGGAGAGCATGGGTCAGGTCAGATTCCGGGGCTGTAGATGGACCCACTGCTACTATCAGGTAATTCAGTACACGAAGTAAGAAGGTGACGTGCAGTCACAGTCAGGCAGCTTGCTGTATGTGCCCAATGTAAGCACATTTCTGTGAGCTGACATGCAGTCACTTGTCTGGTCTGCTGCATCACATCAGTCAGTGCCATAACCTGTGCCTCCAGTCACGTTGACAGAATGAGGAGTGAAGAGCAATACAGCGAATAAAGACAGGCACAGGGAGAGGGGCGAATAACGCTAAAAAAGGGCACAGGTCTCAGACATACTAAGATTTTGATATGTCATTTAAGAGCGAGAAACTTTAGCTGCCAAGACTAAGAATTCTTTTCTCCTACATGTTGCCCCGCTTTGGATGAAAAAGGAGGGTTGAATTATAGCTGAAAATGCTCCACCTGCCAGGTCCTGCACTAACACTTTGTAGAGCACAGACAAATGTTTGGCATCAACTTTGCCTTCCCTTCTAGCTGGTGGCACAAAGGTAGGGGCTGTGTGTATATGCACCTCCCACGTCTACAAAAATCCAGACTCGCTGGCATGACAAAAATGTTCAGAGGACCTCTTCCCTGCCTGTGTACTTGACAGCTTTGGTCCCAAATGAGGCTTTACAGGGGATGACTCAAGGTACACTTCAGGACTGAGTACTGCCCCTTTCATATGAGAGCATCTGCTCTGGCTTAAAGAGGCCCCAAAGGTACTTGCAGGTGATGGCACACCTGGGAGGAACTGGCAGGTTATATGTAACAGCACACAATTTCAACAGCATCTCTATAAAAACCAAAGCAAAGCCATATACCACAGCTCCCTGCTCTCATGAATGGAATCAGTCTGAAGCAATCATCTGGCTGTTAATTAAATTACTTTTTATAAGACTATAAATAATTTTTCCACAATACATCAATACATACTTTCTATAGTATCTAAGCATGATTATTAGCTTCACATAATTTCAGCGTACTTGAAAAATATTCATAAAGCCAAAATAAAACACCACTACACCGTTTTAATATTCCCCTCTTGCCCTCACCCTTTCACACACCCAAGCTCAGTTCACTAGGGCATGCAAAGCACAGATGTAGCGAAGGAGGGGTTAATAGGAAAGAACGGGATATAAACATAGCGTATTTAGAATTGTAAAGGGCCACAAAGGCTTCAGTTAGCATGCACTGATGTCAGAGAGGGCTTCAGGAAGACCAGAAGTAGCAGCAGCATACTTAGTTGGTTGCTAGCTCTGGGTTCTTCCTGAACCCCTCTATAGTCTGCAGAGTTGCTCAGAAATTTAAGAGCGCAGCCCAAGTCCCCTCTTATTCCCAGCCACATTCACTGGTGGCAAATGAAGGAGAAAAGCACTGGCCCGGCAGACATACAGGCCCTGCTGTCCCAAGCTGCATCTGCATCAG